ATTTTTTTAATTGTTAATCGCTGGCTGCGATTACGTTTAATTAATTTAAAACATTAATCGTTAATCCAATTAAAAATAAAATCTGATTAATTTGTCTAGTTTGTCCGAGTTTGAAACCAAACACGAGTTATAGTAATTATTTTGTGTGTTAACGCTTATAAAAAGCACGTAATATAAAAAAATTATAATTATTGTTATTAGTAATACCTAAACTGGGAAGTTTTACAAACCTACTTTGTAAAACGTTTGTTGGTATATATCTTAATGAAAATGCACACCAAATTGCTTAGATTGATGAGGAAACCCGACTTAGCCATACCGGATTAACTTGCTTTGTGTGCACAGGCAAATTCCAGCATAACTTAATTAATCACCAAACCTGCCTGATCAAATTAAGAAAAAAATTAATTTTTTAATCGCGGTTACGATTAACTGTTTAGTCAGATTAAAATTAATCAAGATTAATTGTAATCAGATTGATTTTAATCGAATTAACTAACTGATTAAAACATCAATCGATTAATGCCATCATTGATTTCACATACATATCACTATACCAAGTTTCAGTTCTCTCCCACTAATACTTCCAGAGATATGTATGTAATATGAAAATTCCAATTTGTATGGGAGGGGCCTTGAGTTATCGGACTTATTTTCAGTCTAAGACCATCTTTCCGAAATCCGTAGTAAGTGTACTAAATTTCGTTCTGATCGGAAAACCGGTTAAGGAATGAAATAATAATAATAATGAAACTTTTTAACAGGTGGCAACTCTTAAGAAAATTAGCCTATTTTCCAATCTAGGCCATAAGCTATCTTTGTGCATATTTTCATGCAAATCCATTCAGTCGTTCCCGCATATTAAATAAATTAAACTTTTTAACAGGTGGCAACTCTTAAAAAAGTAATAGCCTATTAACCAATCTGGGCCATAAGCTATCCGCGTACAAAATTTCATGCGAATCCGTTCGGTCGTTTCCGCGTGATGATCTCCCAAACATCCAAACATACAAACTTTCACATTTATAATATTAGTAAGATAAAAAATAGATCCATTACAAGCTTAGGCGTTTTTTTCTATTGAAAAATTTTGCCTTATATTGTAACATTTGCACTAAGTTACTTTTCGTCCTGCAAAATGGCTATATTAGTAGGAAGTATTGCA